TTTCAAATACTGAACCAAAACGTCTACTCAAACCAGGTGCTGTTCCTATCATTGTTGCCCGTTAAAAGCAGCGAATGAAAACAGGGGAGGTAGTGAGGGGGCATGATAGAAAAATAAATTTCCCTATTTAAATTATCCTTTTATCATAATTCTAAGACCTGAGTTAAGATGTGCATTGAGAAATATTTCTATCGGATTAAAAGACAAGTATTCACAAGCCCGCTTGTTTACAATGTAATAAGGCCGCTTCACCTCGCCTGCCGTTCTGTTGTCTTGTTCTAAATCGCAGACAATGACGGTATACCTGGAAACCTGCATCTGTTTTGTGATCCGAAGTGGAGGTGTTACACGTTACCGTGTACTTTGAAATGAACTCAACAACTTTATAACCGCGAAATGCAAACAAAAGCGTTGCAGCTCCCCTTTAAGTATTAACTCAAGAAACAGATAATGTAATGAAATCTGACTGTATCCATGCAATACCCGGATTAGCTCACTCCATTAAGACCTATTAATTGGCTCAGTTGCTGATCGGGAGCCACTGTTGTGTTTATTAGCCTATTCCCATCAGATTTGGCTGTCTGCCCAGTTAGAATATTTCCGAAATTAGATTCATTGAAATGCAAAGTAATTTAATCACTCAGCTCGTCCAGAAAGTTCAAGACACTCAAGGAGAAGGACGGGGTGATGAGACGTGCTGTGCTATAAATGTAAAGCATTGTACAATCACAACAAAAAAAGTCTTCCTGAAGTTTTTGTTTGGTTGTGCTTCAAAGGGTTTTTGTTTGAAATTCCTATGCAGTGTCCATCTATAGATGCATTACTCAGAAGTTAGCTAGAACACTGAAGAAAAATGATAAGCATCTTTTAATATTACAAAGTAAGCCACAATGATAGTGATTCACAGTAACCTTTAGTAAAAGGTTTCACTTCACAGATCTTTATCCTTAAATCACAACCGAGCTTTTTGTTGGCCACATGGGTTCTTCAAAGTAAATAAAACTGAGAAAACATAATTCAGCAATTATGTACTTCTCATGTCTGAATACAAGAG